AGATGTGAATTTGCCCTTGCAGAATTACTGGGCAGGGCACCTCTCATATGTGTGAGTTGAGTCACAAGCGCACAATCTAAATGTATATATGTATACATTTCTCTCTGCCATATACTCTGAAAAGCACATGTGCAAAGGTGTATGAGATTTAATTCTCTAGATAGATTATGCTAAACTTACTGGCCTCTTCAGCAGGCAAACTTGGACCAAAAAATGACAATGTACACAGAGGTGACTGCATTCGGGCACTTCCAGAGGCAAATGTGCACATTTACAGTGATCACACATGCCCTTGTGAAAACTGTGTGGGAATTACCATCAGGTAATGCTGTGCAATCACACTGAACTACTCCATGCTGTCTGTGTAGCTAGTGAAGCCCCTTGGGCAGCAGTGAGTTGCATTTGCAAGCACCTCAAGGCTTTTAAAGGGTATAGAGATGGATATGGTAACTTTAATAAGCTTGGATCAGCCTGATAAGGCTTGGAGGCAGCTGTGACCCAGCACACAGAGTACAGCCAGTGAGGTCTTGTCCAGAACTCAAGGCAGGACTTTGTCACTGGGTGTGCTGACTCAAACTGCCAAAGGTTTTCTGCTCTTGGAAGCTGCTGATATATTTTCAGTGGTGACCTGAAAGTCAAGCTGTGCAGGTAGTCCATCACACACAGTCAACAGCATTACATTTTGTCATGTGCTGCCCTCATCAACAGTTCCCTCTGCACTCAACATCTGTTTTGTGAGCCTACTGACCACTTTCCCCAGGTAAATAAACAAAGGAATGATGTGCTGACTGTGGGTTTCTGCCTCACTCTGCTCTGACTCCTCAGCTGCTGTGCCTCCTGCAGAACCAGTCCAGAACAGGCTACCACCACAGGTCTAAATATAGCCAAAACAAACCAGACACCAATTTTGAAATAATCATTTCTGCCCGATGTGTTCCTCTTCCCCATCATTACCACTAATGTACCAGAATGCGTTACTGATCACTGACACCCAACATCTCAGTGCATTCCCTTATTCATGACAGGTGTCATACAGGAACTCAACTACAGTTTTAGGATGGAAGTCACAGAATCATTTGGAAGGGACCTTTAAAGGTAATCTAGTCCAACTCCCCTGCATTGAACAGGGACACCTACAGCTCGTTCAGGCTGTTCAGAGCCCTGTCCAGCCTTGAATGTCTCCAGGGACAGGGCATCCACAAAATGCTCCAAATGGATCTTACCACTGCTGTTGGGTTGCTTGGACTTGAATGGGAGGAAAGTCTGTGAGCAATAAAGGGCAGATCCAAACGAAGGTAATGAATATTCATCACCCCAAAGGCACCTTGAGCCTTTCTGGAATGAGGCTTTTCCCAAAAAGAAGTAGGAGAGCAAAGGATGCTCTTCCAGCTTCAAAGATACGATTACATGGACAGACAGGACCTCTTCTAGATCAGCAGAGGACACAGAAGCAGCAGTGGAGAGGAGGTAAGAAAAATAAAGTCCAGGAGGTGAGATGGGTGGGCAGAAGAAAAGCTATTCTGAAGTTACTCAGGCAGGATGGAGCAATTAGTGCTGAAGGAGGCGGCCATGCTGCAGTAGACAAATGTTTGGCTTCCTTATTTTTCCAATGTCCACAGGTGAACACAAGGACTTTAGGGCATGACTCCATGTTCCTACTCATCTCAGCAGTATTTAAGATACTCCTCTGTAGTTTTAAATGAACCATGGTTTTCCATCCTGGTAGCTGATATATGTGGAGTACTGAAACAGCAAACAAGAGTGAAAAAAGTCAATCAAGAAACCTTCTAGTCCAATTTCTAATGGATGACGTTCATGGAGGAGTATGATGAATTATTTCACTGGTAAACAAAGCAAGAAAAAAGAAAAAGTAAAGTCTCTTTGAAGACAACAGTACATAAGATTTTATAATTTCACCAGCAAGACAGTTTAGGCATCTACACAGGATTCTAGCACCAGCCATTTTGGGGACTTAAAGTTTTTAATGGGTATGAATAACATCTCAACTAAACCCAGCAACCCTACAGTGGTTAGATGCACTAAAATGCCTCCCAGCTCTGCACCAGGGGCACAGATATACTGAAAACCCACACTTGCCCAATTTGTTGTGAAAAAACAGGCTGTGCAGTTCCATGGCTCAAGAGACATTTAGTCAGCTGGGTGCACTGCATAAAAATGCTAAAGGCAGTGGTTTGAGGAAAGCAAGGGGATAATACTGTCCTATTACACAATTAAAACTCCTATTAAGCAATTAAAAGTGTTGATGCCCACGTAGAACACTACAGTTTGAAACGATGTGATCTGTCCTAGCTGTTGGCAGAGGGCAGGCTGCCTTTGATGACCTACACAAGCACTGGAGCAGAAGAGGCAAGCAGAGACCACAATGGGAAGAAACTCCCAACAGCTGCCAACGAGGGGCAGCTCAGTGAGATGTCATCAAACAGCGCTCCAAGCTGGCCACTCAGGGGCTCAGCAGCAGTCTGTATAAAATGTTAAATCCTAGCCCAATGATACTGAATTCCTGCTATAAGACAGCTAGCCAAGGCATTCCTTCTGAGCATGGTGTTCAGAACGCAGCACAGAAGGAGAAAGAAACACCTCAAGAGCCTGTTATAATTTCTGGAAACCTGTCAGCATCTTCTGACCCAGGCATACTTTGGGGTGTAAGCCAACCTTTGCTGAAGAGGAGGAGATGAAGACAGGGGTCTGACCTTCCCCAGTCTGACTGAGATTGAGATGGAACGAGAGGCAGGACCTGAGTGTAGTCCTCTGACCTGCAAGGAGGGAGCAGATCATTATGTGATCCATCTATCTGCTCTGCCTGTAAAAGGGAAGCAAGAAACTCCTTGTCCATTCTACTGAAGCCACTCAAAATCCACACTGCTCTTTCATTTAACGTACTCCCAGCGCACATTTAAGCAGCTATATGCATCAAACTGTACAAATAAACATCCACAGGGCAGAACACATATTAGTATTAAACTTTAAACATTGGAAATGCACAAGGCTTCTCTTATCACCATATTCTTCCAACACCATCCTATTTTCTGAGGTCTTTCCTCATATTCTGCTTCTTATGAGCAACAATGTGATCAATAAGCGTAACTCACATTCCCAGCAAATTCTGGCAGGGAAATCACAATGTTTTGTGTGATTTCTTCCAGCCCGTGGAGCGCTGAACGTGTCTCCCACAACCGAGACACGATTGACTCTGCAGCAATGAGTTGCCCTATGAATCTTCGTCAATGCAAAAGGCAGAGCACTAGAACTGCATTTATTTTGAAGGAACAGATGGACCAAAGTCCAAGCAAAAGCTAGTGTGATTAGCTTGGAATACACTGGGACAATAGATAACAACTGATCCAGTTAAGTTCACAGCAGCTGAAATAATTATTAAGCATTTGTCACAAATAACCAAATTTCAGCAACAAACCTCAGAACAACACTCAATCTTGAGGGTAGTTCTTGGGGTACAGGAGTTTGTTTTGGCCCTAATTGGTTTGCACGCTCAACCAGAGCAGAACTGTGTGAAATCAGGGCATGAAAGCAACGCTTAGCCTGCAGTTGGAAGTACTGTAGGGTATTCACAGAAAGTAACAACAGAGTGAATCTACCAGCATGCCCACCTTGCACATCCTCTGGGAACTGCTGTAATTCCCTAGTACTGCAGTCAGTGGCTGGGGTAAAGGGAGTTTGAGAAGAGCTCACCAGCCTTTCTTTCCAAAGCAAATGCTATTGAGAATGGAGCTGAAGAACAGAGAGAAGCTGAATGTAACTTGCAAACAAACCTAACCTTATTATTTGCATGTTGGTGATACTACTCTTTATCATTTTATCAGAATTAAATTAATTTTTGAAAAGTCTAACGGGCCTTAGGAAGGCAGAAGGCTGCAAAAGTACGGGGGCTGATCTGAAAGTAATGCCTCCTGTTTTATTACATTTGCCCATGATGTCAGAGGCAGATATTGGTGGTATTGCAGTAGAATTTGAACCAGATTACGGCCAGGGAACTGTGTGGGAGCTGAATATTGTTTTCAGTGTATTGGAAATGAAGATGGTGACGTAGCCCCACAAGCGCTCGTACAAGAACAGAAAGAACACCACATGCAAGTTTGTTGGGACCTCTTGAACAAATTTGAGGCTGAAGATGACAGTTTCCTGGATCACATCATTACCAGTGATGAGACATGGTGTCACCATTATGAGCTGGAATCAAAACACCACATCTACCATATAGTCAGATTTGGCACCTTCTGATATTCATCTGTTCAGACCAATGAAAGACAGACTGCATGGGCAACATTTTCCTAGCAACTATGCTTTCATAGCAGCTGTGAAATAGTGGATCACCTCCACTGGTGCAGATTTTTACAAGTGCAGCAATGCAGGCTCTTGTTCATCACTGGTGAAATGCATAACTAATGGTGGTGACTGCATTGAAAAATAGTGTTTCGTAGCTGAGAATTTGCTCTACCAAATAGTGTTATTGTGCTCTTTGTGCCTGTTTTATCATAGAATCATAGAATCACAAGGTTGGAAACGACCTGTAAGATCATCTAGTCCAACAGTCTTCTCATTACCATTGCCACCACAAACTAAACCAGATCTTGTAGCTCCTCATCCAGACACCTCTTGGACACTGACAGGGATGGCGACATGCCTCCCTGGGCAGTCATTCCAGTGCCTGACCACCCTCTGAGAGAAATAGTTCTTCCTTATGTCTAATCTAAACCTCCTCTGGTACAACTTGCCGCCATTTCCCCGGTCCTGTTCATTGCCTGGGAGAAGAGGCCAAACCCCTCTTCACCACAACCTCCCTTCAGGAAGTTGCAGAGTGCAGTGAGGTCTCCCCTGAGCCTCCTCCTCTCCAGATAAACAATCCCAGCTCCCTCAGCCTCTCCTCATAAGACTTGTGCTCCAGACCCCTCACCAGTTTCGTTGCCCTTCTCTGGACACGCTCCAGGGCCTCAATGTCTTTCTTGTAGTGAGGGGAAAAAATTTTTCTGCCGAAGCGGAGCCTCAAAAAATTTCACAACACTCGTGCTTGTTCCTCTCCACAGAAATCTTTAGTAAAAGGCGAAAGATTTATACAATCTGAACAGAAATCAGAATAGTTTCCATGGAAATAAATTAGAGGCATTACTTTCAGAGCTACCTGTGTACTACCCTGGCAGCAGAATCCCGCACGCACAGACCCTGCTTAGTACTTCAAATTTGAGCCACGTAACAGCAAATAGCAGATGACCTCCAGTCAGCTAAGTTATTGTGTAATGCTGTGCTTTATGCCTATAAAACACATATCTGTTTATGCACCTTATGTTTAACTGTGTGGCCGTAACTGACCTGAATGATTGAAGAACTAACAGGAAAAACTACTGGAATGGTTTTGTGTTCCAGATAAAACTTGGGATATGTAATCAGCAGCTCGTCCTTGTGTTGCCTGCTAAAGGGCATGGCAGTGCTGTGAAGACGATCCCTATTATTAAACCAGTAGATAGTGTGGCTCAGGAAACCTGAAGACTGTACTGGAATTTAATTACAGAGAGCAGCAGGGGAAGTGACACATGGGAGTATGTGGGCAAACCTGAAAAATGCACTTACTTTTGCAGATATTCTGAAATTGCTTCAGTGAAAATTACTACATTGCTGTGTGCTACCCACAACTGGCAGGAACAGGTCACTTCTCTAGCACATTATCAACCCTAATTACTATTGGTTCAGCTGGAAACTATCTTTGAAGGCAACTCCCCCACATCAGTGGTGCCTGAAAGTCAGATAACGTGTTCAAAAACCTCCTGGGGCACATGTCAGTGCCAAAATCTGGTCCCAGAGAAATTCTAGCCTCTGCAGGCAGCCCTGCAGAGAGCTGATGCAGTGGGTCAGTACTGTGAAGATGCACTTCACAGAAGCCACAAACCCTATGGAGTGAAGTCATAGAATCATAGAATCATAGAATTATAGAATCACCATGGTTGGAAAAGACTAAAAGATCATCCAGTCCAACCGTTCACCTATTCCCAATAGCTCCCACTAAACCATGTCCCCCAACACAACATCCAGCCTTTCCTTGAACACCCCCAGGCTCGGTGACTCCACCACCTCCCTGGGCAGTCCATTCCAGTGCCTGACCACCCTTTCTGAAAAGTAATACTTCCTGATGTCCAGCCTGAATCTCCCCTGCCATAGCTTGAAGCCATTCCCTCTGGTCCTATCACTAATGACACGAGAGAAGAGGCCGACCCCCAGCTCACTACAACCTCCCTTCAGGAAGTTATAGAGAGCAATGAGGTCTCCCCTGAGCCTCCTCTTCTCCAGGCTGAACATTCCCAGCTCCTTCAGCCGCTCCTCATATGGCCTGTGTTCCAGACCCCTCACCAGCTTTGTTGCCCTTCTTTGAACACGTTCCAGGGCCTCAATATCTTTCTTGCAGTGAGGGGCCCAAAACTGGACACAGTACTCGAGGTGCGGCCTCACTAGTGCTGAATATAGGGGAACAATCACCTCTCTGCTCCTGCTTGCAATGCTGTTTCTGATGCAAGCCAGGATGCCATTGGCCTTCTTGGCCACCTGGGCACACTGTCGGCTCATGTTCAGCCAAGCATCAATCAATACCCCCAGGTCCATTTCCTCTACGCCGTCCTGCAGCCACACCGCCCCAAGCCTGTAGCGTCGCCTGGGGTTGTTGTAGCCGAAGTGCAGGACCCGGCATTTGGCCTTGTTGAACCTCATCCCATTGGCTTCAGCCCAGCTCTCCAGCCTGTCCAGGTCCCTCTGTATGGCCTCGCTACCCCCAGGCAGATCCACACTTCCAGCCAATTTGGTGTCATCTGCGAATTTACTGAGGGTGCACTCGATGCCCTCATCCAGGTCATCAATAAAGATATTGAAGAGGACAGGCCCCAGCACCGACCCCTGGGGAACACCACTCACGACTGGTCGCCAGCTGGATTTGACTCCATTCACCACCACTCTCTGTGCCCGGCCCTTCAGCCAGCTCCTTACCCAGCCAAGAGTGTACCCATCCAAGCCTCAGGCTGCCAGCTTCTGCAGGAGAATGCTGTGGGAGACAGTGTCAAAGGCTTTGCTGAAGTCTAGGTAGACCACATCAACAGCCTTTCCCTCATCCACCAGATGGGTCACTAGATCATAGAAGGAGATCAGGTTGGTCAAACAGGACCTGCCCTTCACAAACCCATGCTTGCTAGGCCTGATCCCCCGCTCATCCCGCACATGCCGCATGATCTCCCTCAAGACGATATGCTCCATAACCTTCCCTGGCACCGAGGTCAGGCTGACAGGCCTGTAGTTCCCCGGATCCTCCTTACGACCTTTCTTGAAAGTGGGAGTCACGTTGGCAAGCCTCCAGTCTTCTGGGACCTCACCAGTCAACAAGGAGCACTGACAGATGATGGAAAGTGGCTCGGCTATCACCACCGCCAGTTCCCTCAGCACTCTTGGGTGGATCTCATCTGGCCCCATCGACTTGTGACAGTCCAGTTGGAGCAGTAGTTCTCTGACTGTTTCTTGCAGAATCACAGGGGGGTTAGTGTGCTCCCCAGCCGAGATTACCAGGTCAGAGAGAGGAGTATCCTGAGGATAACTGGTCTGACTTTTAAAGACAGACGTAAAGAAGGCATTCAGAACCTCTGCCTTTTCCTTATCCTCAGTGGTCACATTCCCAGCCTCATCCAGCAAAGAGTGGATATTCTCCTTTGTTCTCCTCTTACTGTTAATGTATTTATAAAAGAGTTTCTTATTCCTTTTCACCCCAGCAGCTAGGTTAAATTCAAGCTGGGCTTTTGCCTTTCTGATTTCACCTCTACACATCCTAACGACTCCCTTATATTCATTCTGAGTGGCCTGTCCCTCTTTCCACAGGCGGTAGATTCTCTTTTTCTCCCGGAGCCTCAGGAATAGCTCCCTATTCATCCACGCCGGTCTTCTTCCCCGCCGGCTCATTTTGCAGCTCAGGGGGACTGCCTGCTCCTGCGCCCTTAAGACTTCCTTCTTGAAGAGCAACCAGCTCTCTTGGACCCCTTTACTCGCTAAGACTGAATGCCAGGGGACTCCCCCTATTAGTCCCTTGAACAATTCAAAGTCCACCCTCCTGAAGGCCAAGGTAGCAGTTTTACTATTCCCCCTCCAGGCTTCACCATGAATTGAGAAATCTATCATTTCATGGTCACTCTGTCCAAGACAGCCTCCAACCTCCACATCTCCCAGCAAACCTTCCCTGTTTGTGAACAGCAGGTCTAGTGGGGCAGTTCCTCTCATGGGCTCTCTGACCAGCTGTATCAGGAAGTTGTCCTCTATGCATTCCAGAAACCTCCTAGACTGCTTCTTCTGTGCTGTGCTGTACTCCCAGCATATGTCAGGGAAGTTAAAGTCCCCCATGAGGACAAGGGCAGGCGACTGTGCAGCTTGTGCCATCTGCTTATAGAATACCTTGTCTGTCTCTTCATCCTGATTTGGAGGTCTATAACAGATGCCCACCAGGGTGCCTGTCTTGTCAGCCCTTCCTCTGATCTTTACCAATAGGGATTCAACATTATCGTCCCCACTCATAATCTCAGTAGCGTAAAAGCATTCCCTAACGTAGAGAGCCACACCGCCACCTCGCTTTCCTTGCCTATCCTTCCTGAAGAGTTTGTAGCCATCCATTGCAGCGCTCCAGTCGTGGGAGCAATCCCACCACGTTTCCGTTATGGCAACTAGGTCATAGTTTGCCTGCTGCACAATGGCTTCCAACTCTTCTTGTTTGTTGCCCATGCTGCGTGCATTAGTGTAGACGCACCTCAGCTGAGCCCCTCGCCTCTCACCTAATCCCAATACCACTTCCCCAGGCTGCTCTCTAGCAGGCCTGGCTTTATCCCCTTCCCCCTTCCTATCTAGTTTAAAGCTTTCTCTACAAGTCCCGCCAGCTCCTGGGCGAGTATCCGTCTCCCTTTTGGAGACAGGCAATTCCCATCAGCAGACCTCAGGCCAGGTGCCGAGTAGACCACCCCGTGATCAAAGAATCCAAAATTATTGCGCTTGCACCAGCCTCTCAGCCATGCATTTATAAGATGGCTTTTCCTGGTCATCTCAGCGCTTGTCCCTGCCACCCTGCCAGACGTGATCTGTGCTAATGTAGATCCATCTGAACAGCTGCCACTGGACGTTCTCTCTATCTGTTGTCAGAATCAAGCAAGGAATTGGACCTGGAAATGGACATCACAAGCATTGGATTGCGGCACTGCTGACAGTCTCTTTACCTCCTGGCTCTGCCGGTCAGTCTGTCCTTTCCTTTGGCTCGGCTGCTCGTTGCTTTGGGACCAGGATCGCTCACGTTCACACTGTGTTGTCCTACACCTAGGAGAGAGAGGCCATGCAAAAGTAGGCAGAACTGGCTGACGACCACTGGCTGATGACCAGCATGACCACTGCTGGGGCTGACATCCTTGTATCAGTGAAAAGTACTCTTGGATGGGGAAGCCTCTGAAGCTGCATGCATACTACACATACGTTTTCTGAAGCTGTGAATACAGAATGAGAATTTAGATGTGTTTCTTCTGCATTTTCTGTTCTAAATTCCAATAATAAACATTGATCTTATCCCTTGGATACAGTCTGCCTTGTGCTGTTCTTGGGAGACTGTTCTTATTCTTCCTTGCCACAGTGCAGGGATCTTATCACAAGGCTAGGAAAGTAGACACATGGTGTATTCCCAGCACACACACATCATATGTCTGTGACAGTGCCTGGACAGAACTCTCCCCATGGGGCACATTCAAAGGTGCTGATGTTTAGTAGGGTGACACAACTGAGTCATGTGGTTTACTCACCTCTCCCGCTGGGAGGAAAGGACCTGTGCTGGAATTTCCTTGCGTTTCTTCCCCCTAAAAGGACAAAGAAGAGAGTGCACAAAGTGAGACAGTCTGTAATGCAGACTGCAGAGAGCATTGGCATTCAAATAGGGTACTGCAAGGGAAAGATTTGTTCTGCCAGTCCATCTCCTGAGAAACAGGAATCATGATGGACTTATGCTAGTAAAGAAGCCAGCATGTGCCACAGGGATCAGAGATGAAGTGCTCTGGAATAGGATTGCCTCTCAAACCACTGGAAAGTAGGCAGT